ATCCACTTGTGGTATTTCTGCTATAGCAGCACTAGATGACTAAGACAAGAACGAATTTAGAAAACTCATCCTTACAATTTTGTTTCTTTAGAACCACTCTTTGTACCAAATGTGTTAGGCTGGTTTCTCTAGAGAAGCAAAACCAGTGAAGTGTATAAGTATATATATAGATTTCTATCAAGGAAATAACACATGGTTGTAGAAGCTGGAACTTCCCAAGTTTAGGAGGTTAGAAGTCCAAATTCAGGGCGCCAGCTCAGGGGAATGCTTTCTCTATCTGTCAGCTCTGGAGGAAGGTCCTTGTCATCAATCTTCCCTTGGGTATAAGATTTTCTCAGTGGAGGGATCCCAGGTCTAAAGGGTGTGCTCCTCTCCTGGCTCTTCTTTCTTGGTGTTATGAGGTCCCTCTCCCCTCTGCTCACTTCTCTCTTTTATATCTCAAAAGGGATTGACTCAAGATACAACTTAATCCTGTAAATTGAGTCCTACCACATTAACATAACTACCTCTAATCCTGCCTCATTAACATCATAGAGGTTAAGATTTACAACACATAGGATAATCACATCAGATCGCAAAATGGTTGACAACCACTCAATGCTGGGAATCATGGCCTAGCCAAGTTGATATACATTTTTGGAGGACACAATTCAGTTCATAACAGTGTTCGTCACTCTGTGTTCCTTCTCTTTTATAGGACACTACTCATATTGGATTACCGTTTTCCACCAGGTCATTTCTGACTCATGGTGACACCATGTGTTTCAGAATAGAACTGCACTCTATAGGGATTTCAATAGCTGTGTTCTTTCAGAAGTAGATTGCCAGGTCTTTCTTCCAAGGTGCCTCTGGAGGGATTCGAAACACCAACCTTTCAGTTAATAGCCAAGCACTTAACTATTTGCACCACTCAGGGAATCCTCATATTGGATTAAGATCCACTTTATTCCAGTATGACCTCATGTTAACTTCACTGGTAACATCTTCAAAGATCCTATCTCCAAACAAGGTCATGTTCACAGGCACCAGGTGTTAAGACTTAAGCATATCTTTTTAGGGGACACAATTCAACCCATAAGAGACCCATTCAAAAAACAAAGTTTACTGAGCACTATTGCGGAAGCCAAATGATACCCAACCCCTACCCTCTTAGAGTCCAGTAACTAGAGGTGAGAAAGAGGCTGCCATAGGCAAGGACAGTGGGGTAAGTTGTCAAGGTTGGGGAATGTTCAACAGTAAAAAAAATGCTTCAGAGAGGTTGTAGGAGGCGCAGCTGAAAAGCAGCTTTTGCATTTGTCCGTGAGTTGTGCACGATGCAAGCAGGAAGTATGGGAAGAAATCTAACTATTGGGACTGAGGACTGATGGGGCTTCTCATGGCTGAACTTGGCCCCCCAGTACTGGCGCTCTGAGACCACAGCTCACCACTGTACTGGCGGCCTGGCCTCTGGCCAAAAACGTGTGTGATTTTTCAGGCCCAGCCATAAGCAATTACAAAGGCTTTACCTGGCATGCCTCACGGGAGGATGCTGCCCTCCCCACACCAGACTTGGTATATAGCCAGTGCATTGCAGTCTCTCAAGGGAGTTTCAGTCAAAGACTCAGGCCCCCTTGGCCAGCTATACTATTTCACATATCTGCATTCACAGCTCCACTGTCTTAGTTATCTAGTGCTGCTATAACAGAAATACCACAAGCGGGTGGCTGCAACAAACAGAAATTTATTTTTTCACAGTTTAGGGGGCTAAAAGTGTGAATTCATGGCACCAGTTCTACAGGAAGTCTTTCTCTCTCTGTTGGCCCTGGGGGAAGGTTCTTATCTCTTCAGTTTCTGTTCCTTTGCTCCTTGGTGAGCTTCATGTGGCATGGCATCTATTTTTCCCCAACTGTGCTTCCTTGTCTCCTTGTTTAATCTGCTCTTTTTATATCTCAAAAGAGATTGATTTAAGACACACCCTACACTAATACTGCTTCATTAATATAATGAAGAAAACCCATTCCCAAATGGGATTATAACCACAAGTATTTAAAAAAAAAAAAAAATAAGCCCATTGCTGTCGAGTTGATTTCGACTCATAGTGACCTAATATGACAGAGTAGAACAGCCCCATAGGGTTTCCAAGGAGTGGCTGGTGAATTCAGACTGCTGACTTTTTGGTTACCAGTCAAGTTCTTAACCACTGAGCCAGCAGGGCTCCAACCACAGGTATAGGGGTTAGGATTTACAACACATATTTTGGGGGGACACAACTCAATCCATAACACCAACTAATCAACCAGTCAGCTCTGACTCATGGTGACTCCATGTGTGTCAGAGTAGAACTGTGCTCCATAGGGTTTTCAGTGGCTGATTTTTTCAGAAGTAGATCACCAGGCTTTTCTTCCAAGGTGCCTCTGGGTGAACTCGAACTGCCAACCTTTCAGTTGGCAGGCAAGCTCTTACCTGTTTGCTCTACCTAGGGACTCACAGTCCAGGAGCCTCCATTGGAGGGCTCTTTATCAGGGGCCTTTGGCAGATGCTGTCATGGATTAATTTGTGTCCCGCCAAAATATCTGTGAGCTTGGCTGGGTCATGATTTCCAGTATTGTATGATTGTGTACCATTCTGTAATCTGATGTGATTTCCTTATGTTTTGTAAACTCTATCACTATAATGTAATAAGATGGATTAGCGGCAGTTATACTGATGAGGTCTACAAGATTAGATAGTGTCTTAATCCAATCTCTTTCAATATATAAAAGAGAGAAGTGAGCAGAGAGACATGGGAGCCTCATCCTACCAAGAAAGAAATGCCAGGAGCAGAGAGCGTCCTTTGGGCCTGCGGTTCCTGTGTTGAGATGCTCCCAGACCAAGGGAAGACTGATGCATCACAAGGACTTTCCTCCAGAGCCGATGGAGACAGAAAGCCTTCTCCTGGAGCTGATGCCCTGAACTTGGACTTGTAGCCTACTAGACTGTGAGAAAATAAACTTCTCTTTGTTAAAGCCATCCACTTATGGTATTTCTGTTATAGCAGCACTAGATGACTAAGCCATCTTGCAGTATGTTAGAAATGGCTATTGTATTTTATCCAAAACCTTTTCCTTATTTTATTTTTTATTACTTTTTCATTGAAGGCAAATTTATATACAGTGAAATGCATAAATTTTACATGTACAATTCAATGAGTTTTCATAAAAGCATATGCCCATGTAACCACAATCCCAATCAAGAGATAGAATATTTCCAGCACCCTGGAAAATTTCATGTCCTCTTAAAGTTAATCCCCAGCTCCCCTAAACAGAGGCAGCCACTGTCCCCATAAATTAATTTTGTCTGTCCTTGAACTTCATTTAAGTGGGATTATATTCAAACTTGAAGCTCTGTGATTCCAAAGCCTATGTTCTTTCCACTAAATGGATAGGTTACCGATTAGAGGGCTTGAGGGCTACAAAAATCAGCCCCTGTCCTCCCCTTGCCTCAGCAGGGCTGTGATCCCTGAAGCCAGGGCTGAGTCTCTGCAATTTCTCACTTGTGGATCTTGATCTCAGAGTACTCATTGTCGAAGGCTTCCTGCCCAGGCTCCTTCCCATTAAATACGAGGGAAGCATAATGGATATCTTCTTCGTCTTCCGAGAAGGAGGTGGCCACATCTTGGGGAAGGTGGTCTGGGGGGCTGTTTTTCCAGAATTCAATCAGGTTGCCCTGAGTGGAGGGAGACAGAAGGGGATCAGAGCATGCCAGTGGGGACAGGATAAGGCAGGGAGCATTCGGGAGAGAAGCCCATGAATTCCTTCATCCATTCATCCCAACAAAATTTATAATACCTCCTTCATTCATGCTTCCTTTATATATTTCATCCTTACTGAGCACCTTTTTTATTGGTTCAATGGTAGAATTCTCACCTTCCATGTAGGAGACTAGGTTCGATTCCTGACCAATGCATCTCATGCACAGCCACCACCCGTCTGTCAATGGAGGCTTACCTGTTGCTATGATGCTGAACTGGTTTCAGCAGAGCTTCCAGACTAAAATGGACTAGGAAGAAAGGCCTGACAATCTGCTTCCTAAAACCAGCCAATGGAAACCCTATGGATCACAATGGTCTGAGCAACAACCAATCATGAGGATGGCGCAGGACCAGGCAGCATTTTGTTCAGTTGTGCATGGGGTCACCATGAGTCAGGAGCCAACCTGATAGCAGCTAACAGTAACAACCTTATTTGATGCTTACAAATCTCACTGACTTCCAAGAACAAGCCCATAAGGAAGAGACCATTATTAACTCTATTTTTTTAGATATGGAAACTGAGGTTGAGATAAGTAAGTAACTTGTCTGGTGAAGCCAGGATATGACCCAGTTCTTCCTGACCCCAAAGCGTCATGTTCTACTAAGACCTCTTGCATCTTAGGCAGTGGTGACCCAGGTCCTGAATACAGTTGTCCCTCTGTATCCGCAGGGGATTGGTTCCAGGACCTCCACAGATATCAAAATCAGTTAATGCGCAAGTCCCTTATATGAAACGGCTTCAGCTGAGAACCCAGCCCTGCCCCTATGCCCATTCCCACGTCAAGGCTCCGCCCCGGGGTGGGGGGTGGGGTGCACTCCCTCCCCCTGCAGAAAGCTGCCTAGCCGAAGTGCACCCTAAAAAGGAAGACTAGGAGGTGAAGGTGTGAGAATTGTGGGGAGCCGGATTCCGGCGTCGAGGTGGAGCCCAGAGCCTTGAGCCTGGGACTGCGGTTGACCTCAGGTAACTGAAACCAGGGAAAGCGAAATCGCGGATAAGAGGGTCGGGAAGGTTACTTGTGTTTTCAATCTGTGGATTCGGAACCCCCGGATCTGGAGGGCCAACTGTATACCATTGTGGACAAGTCCCCTGACCTCTTGCAGCTCCCTCTTTAATTGAGGGAGCTGATAATAAAGGAGCCATCAAACAAAATATCTAATAGTGGATTATGATATCATGGACAGGAACAGGGTTAGAGAGAGTGCTCAGCTGCTAACCAAAAGGCCAGTAGTTCTAATCTACCCAGCAATTCCACAGGAGAAAAGACCTAGCCATCTGCTGCTGTTAAAATTGCGGCCTAGAAAACCCTATGGGGCAGTTCTACCCTGTAACATGGGGTTGCTGAGTCTAAATCAGCTCAATAGCACCTATCAACAACAAGGAGGTCCATGTCTTTATCCCCAGAACCTGTGAATATGTTACCTTACATGGCAAAAGGGATTTTGCAGATGTGATTAAATTAAGGATACTGACATGGGGAGATTATCCTGGATTATCTGGGTGGGCCCAATGGAATCACAAGAGTTTTTAGACATGAAAGAAGGAGGCAGGAGAGTTAGTGTTAGTGTCAGAGATTTGAAGATGCTAAGCTGCTGGCACTCAGCTGTAATGGAAAGGTGGGCAGTTCAAACCCACCAGCGGCTCTGTGAGAGAAAAGACCTGGTGATCTGCTCCCTTAAAGATTACAGCCTAGGAAACCCTATGGTTTCTCCTCTGCCCTATAGGTTCGTGGTGAGTCAGAAGCAGCTTGATGGCACACAACAACAAAAACAAGCTGCTGGATTTGAAGGTGGAGGAGGGGATCATTAGCCAACGAATGCAGGCAGCCTCTAGAAGCTGGAAAAGGCAAGGAAACAGATTCCCCTCCGGATCCTTCAGAAGGAACACAGACCCGCTGACAGCTTGATTTTAGCCCAGTGAGACCCATTTTGGACCTCTGACCTCCAGAACTGTAAGATAATAAATTTGTGTTGTTTTAAGCTAATGAGCTTGTGTTAATTTGCTCATTGGCTCTTGCTTTCCTCTAGCTAATTACATAGACTTCTTTGTTTCTCTTCCACTCACCAGTCATGTCATGCTCCTGCTTCTGAGAGTTTGCACCTGCTGTTCCCTTTGCCGGGAACGCTCTTTGATCACACAATCACAAAGCAGGCTCCCTGGCTTCTTCCATGCCTTTTCCCAAATGTCACTGCCCTACTACACTGACAAAAACCACAAGCCATCCCTCAGCACGCCCTATTCCTATGCCCTGCGTTTTCCCCAAAGTATATGTCTATCTTTTATTTCTACTCATTTATTTATCTGTTTGTACGTATGTTCATTTATCGTTTGGTTGTTTGGTTATATTCCTTTTCTAGGAGTCTTGGTGGTGCAACAATTAAGCCCTCGGCTGCTAACCAAAGGTTGGCGATTTGAACCCATCCAGTGGCTCTGCAGGAGAACAGACCTGACAGTCTGCTCCCATAAAGACTACAGCCTAGAAAACCCTCTGGGGGCAGTTCTACTCTGTCGCATGGGGTCACTATGAGTCAGAATTGACTCAAAGACACCCAATAACAACAACAAGATAAAAGTTATTTGAAGGCAGGATTTTAAAATATATTTTGTTCATCGCTGGGTTCCTGTAGTAGATTTCTGTGTGGCTCAAACATCTGCTCTTGGCTCCTGTTATGGATTGAATTTTGTCCCCCAAAAATATGTGTTGTAAGTCCTAACCTCTATGCCTGTGGTTAGAGGAGCCTTGGTGGTGCAGTAGTTAAGTGCTTGGCTGCTAAACGAAGGGTCAATGGTTCGAACCCATTAGCCGCTCTGTGGAGAAAGATGTGGCATTCTACATCTGTAAAGACTGCAGCCTTGGAAATCCTACGGGGCAGTTCTACTCTGTCCTATAGGGTCACTATGAGTTGGAATTGACTCAATGGCAATGAGTTATGCCTGTGGTTATATTCCCATTTGGGAATGGGTAGTCCTTATTATGTTAATGATACAGAATTAGTGTAGAGTGTGTCTTAAGTCATGCTCTTTTGAATATAAAAGACATTAAACAAGCAGGTCAAAGAAGCAGAGACAGGGGAAGTGAGATGCCAAGCCACATGAAGATTGCTCAGGAACAGAAGCTCAGAAGAGACAAGGACTTTTCTCTAGAGTTGGCAGAGAGAGAAAGCCTTCCCCTAGAGCCAGCACCCTGAGTTTGGACTTCTAGCCTCCTAAACTGTGAGAAAAAAAAATTCTGTTTGTTTAAGCCATCCACTTGTGGATAACTAAGACAGCTACTCAGTGGCGCTTCAAAAGAAAAGCCCAACCATCTGCTTCGTAAAGATGACAGCCAAGAAAACCTTATGGAGCAGTTCTACTCTGCACACATGAGGTCTCCATGAGTCAGAATCAACTCGACTGCAGCAGGTTTGGGCTTTGTTTTATTTTATTTTATTTTATTTTATTTTATTTTATTTTTGCGGGGGTCAGGGTGGGCCCCATAGAACCTACAATGCCTGTCACTTAGTAGGTGCTCAGTAATATATCCTGAACAAATTAGTTAATGAAAAAATGCATGTTACTCAGCTGCTCAAAACCTTACAACGGCTGCCAGTCACACTCCGAATGCAGTACAACCAACAGCAAAACAACCCGTTGTCGTCCAGTCGATTCCGACTCATAGAGACCCTATAGAACAGAGTAGAACTGCCCCATAGGGTTTCCAAGCAGTGGCTGGTGGATTCAAACTCCGGACTTTTTAGCAGCTGAGCTCTTAACCACTGTGCCACCAGGGCTCCATGCGATAAGTAAATGAAAAAAAAAAGTGACATTTACATCAGAGCGTGAAGGATGAGCAGGAATGAATAGGTGGGAATGGGGAGGGAAGGGTATTTGAGGAGGAAGGAACAGCCCACATAACCTTGTTCTGGTTGATGACAGTGCAAAATCCAGTGTGGATGGAGCACGGAGTGTGAAGTGGGGAGTGCAAGGAAAACGGGCTGGATATCATGGCTGGGATTAAGGTGAGGTAAGTGAGGCACTATTCTCAAGAATAAAATTTAAAGGGGGTACCAAAAACCTCAGAAATCAAGATAAATAATGTTTTAATACAATATTTGTAAAAATCAAAATGAATGCCCAAAAAATCCTTAGAGAACAAAATATCAAAATTTTAAGTAAACCTAAGCTCTCCATGCTGAGCCATTGGAGACTGAGACAAAAGGAGAAATGTGTGCCCCGTATTTTTATGTATTCTTAATGTCTATTTTTTTCCAGAATGTTAAAATAGTTGAAAAATACTGAAAAAAATTGCAAAGGTGTATGTATTAAAGCATTATTTTAATTTTAAATATTTTATTTGTATCAAACACAGAATTTTTTTTTCCTGGCTTTCATGGAAGGAAACTCAATAATACTTTCAAAATGGATTCTGCTGCTCTTGTTTTCAACTGAGAAAGCCACCATGTTTGACAATTCCTCCTGACTAAATGACAATCTTAAATAATTTTTCATTAATTTCAGTTTACTGATCCTGTTATTTAAAATTTTGATATTTTGCTCATCATGAATTGTTTTCTTAAATAATTTATTTCATTTTCTGTTGTTATTGGAAATATACACAGTAGAACATAACCAATTAGCGATTTCTACATGTACAATTCAGTGACGTTGATTATATTCTTCTAGTTGTGCAACCATTCTCACCCTCCTTTTCTGAGTTGTTCCTCCCTCATTGACATAAACTCACTGTCCACTAGGTTTCCTATCTAATCTTTCAAGTTGCTGTTGTCAATTTGATCCCATATAGATAGCTCTTTTAAAACAGTACAGTGATCAAAACATTCTTTACTAGTTAAGCTACCTATTGTTTGGTTTAAAGAAGGCTTCAGGGGATATTTTTGTCCTTAAGTTTTAAGATTATCTCAGGGCAATAATTTTGGGGGTTCATCAGCCTCAATGGATTTGTAAAGTCTGGATTCCATCGTCACGGATTGTTTTGCATTAATTTAGATTGTTTTAAATATTACATTAAGATACTACTTATCTCGATTACTGAAATTTTTTGGCAGCTCCTTAAAATTTTCATCTGAGGCCAGCTCCTCACTTACCTTACCCTAATCCCAGCCTTACTGGAGTGGTGCCCCAAAACACGCAGGGCTCCAGGCTGAGGAGTTTGGGCTTTATTCTCTAGTTCAGGTATCAACAAGCCACAGCCCATAAGTCAAATCTAGCCTGCTGCCTCTTTTTGTAAATAAACTTTTATTATAACACAGCCATACTCATTCATTTACATATCGTCTATGACCAATTTCATGCTACAACGACAGAGTTGCATAGTTGCAACAGAGACCATATGCACCGCAAAAGCAAAAATATTTACTATCTGGCCCTTCAGGAAATGTTGGCTAATCCCTGATCTAGATAGTGGTGAGCAAACAGACATTCAAAATGCAGAAGAACTGGACAGATAAAGGTGTTTTTTGTTTTGTTTTGTAGGGGGAGAGCAATCACTCCACGTAGGACAGAGGAGGTGAGAGGCAGGGAGGTGAGAAGTCCAGGAAAGAGAACATGAGACATCAGCGTCAATGGGGTCAGGATGGAGTAGGGGGGAGGCTGATGTTAGCTGTTCTTAGGAGGAAAAATGGACACAAGGCAAATTGGATCAATGGTTAAGCCCTTGGCTTCTAACCAAAGGGTTGGTGGTTCAAACCCAACAGTGACTCCTAGGGAGAAAGACCTGGTGATTTGCTCCAGTAAAAATTGCAGCCTAGAAAACCCTACGGGGCAGTTCTGCTCTGTCACATGGAGTGACTGTGAGTTGAAAGTCAACTCAGTGGCACCCAACAGCAACAACATGACAGGAGAAGAAAGATCCCTGGTGGTGCGATGGTTAAGCACTCGGCTGCTAACCTAAAGGTCGGCAGTTCGAACCCACCAGCTGCTCCGCAGGAGAAAGATATGGCAGATTGCTTCCAAAAGATTACAGCCTTGGAAATCCTATGGGGAAGTTCTTCTCTGTCCTGTAGGGTCGCTATGAGTCAGAAGTGACTCGAGGGCACGCAACAACAACAAGGAGAAGAAAAGGAAGACAGAGAAGCGGCAACTCCACAGCACCTGGCCTGGGAGTCTGCATGTCCTCAGCAAGATAGGAAATCCAGCAGAAGAAGCTGGCATGGAGGTGAGGGAGATGAAGAGAGCAACTTTGGCTGTGCTGAATGGAGCAATCCTGGGGCCACCCTGGGGAGGTGTCCAGACAGGATGCTGGATGGCGGTCAAGCCGCCCACATCACACACCTGAGAGGCCGACCCCATCACTGTGTTTGCATTCTCCATGCCTGTGTCCTCCACACCCTCTGCTGGCCTTGCCGCTCTCTTCCTGCAAGACCTCACTCCGGACAAAGTGACAAGAGAGCATTTCAGTCTGGCCAGATGAGGGACAGTGGGCAGACAAAACCCATCTATTGACTCCTAAGGCGCTGAAGGGTTTGATTGAGGTGGGAGAGGCATTGTCTAGTTCCAGAGACCCCAATGTTGAGAACACAGGCTCCCCCGCCTCCTGGACCAGACTGGGAGCCCAACTAGAATTGGTGCATGGGAAACCTCAGGCGTGCTCCAGTAACCTCTTCCTGCCCTTGTTTTGGGCTCTTGGTCCATCCAGATCCCTTCAGCTGTGGGTTCAGGGATTTTGTCACGTCTGCCCTTCCCACCCATGACCTCCCTTTTCCTCCCCATGGCCGATGCTCACATGATAAAGGTGAGGAAGGAGAATAAGACCAGGGCTGTGGCACCGGCTCCCCCAAGTACCCCCAGCACCACTCCGGATTCGAACCACACTTCCCCTGCAGACAGATTGGTATCTGGTGATTCACCTCCCAGAACTCAGTTTCTCCTCCCTCACTCCCAGTAGGGCCCTAGGCTTCTCTTTGCCAGCACCTTCCCTAGACATCAAGAACACAAGGGACACAAGGGACGGGGACTAGGGTAAGGTGAGTGAGGCTTGCAAGTACAGAATTGCATCTTGTCTTTATCTAAATTTTTTATACTTTGTTTAAGGAGCACTGGTGGTGCTACAGTTAAGCACTCAGCTGCTAACCAAAAAGTCGACGATTTGAACCCACCCAACGGTTCCATGGGAGAAAGACCCGGTGATTTGTTCCCATAAAGATTGTTGTCGTTAGGTGCCATCGAGTCATTTCTGACTAGCGACTCTACATACAACAGAATGAAACACTGCCGGTTCTTGCACCATCCTCACAATCATTGCTATGTTTGAGCCCATTGTTGCAGCCACTGTGTCAATCCATCTCCTTGAGGGTCTTCCTCTTTTTTGCTGACCCTCTACTTTACCAAGCATGATGTCCTTCTCCAAGGACTGATCTCTCCTGATAACGTGTCCAAAGTTTGTGAGACGAAGTCTCACTATCCTTTCTTCTAACAAGCATTCTGGCTGTACTTCTTCTGAGACAGATTTGTTTGTTCTTCTGTCAGTCTATGGTATATTCAGTATTCTTTGCTAACACTGTAATTCAAAGGCATCAATTCTTCGGTCTTTCGTATTCATTGCCCCATCAAGATTACAGCCTAGAAAACCCTATGGGGCAGTTCTACTCTATCACATGGGTCACTATGAGTCGGAATCCATTCAAACAACAACAACTTTTCTTCATCGTGGAATCTATTTTGCATTCATTATGCTTTTTTAAGCATATTGCATTACTATATTATTTCTCTTGATTGCTGAGTTTTTTGGCTCCTCCTTACATTTTTGCACCCAAAGTGTGTGCTTCACTTGCTTCACCCTAGTCCTGACCTTGCAAAGCACGGACATTGTCTCTCCTCACACACCTACCCTTCTCCCTCAAGATCCACCTCCTCCCCCTAGGCTTCTCCTTCCCAGTTGTCACCCCACCCCACACCCCTGACCTGCAAAGAAAGAGGACAGTGATGCTATGGGTCCCTGGGTAACTCCAGGCCTCAAAGCTGAGCCCCAGACCAAAGCCAAGCTCCCCTATGAAGCTCAGGGAGCTACTGGGTAGCTATGAAAGTGGAATAGGGGCTTTTCTCCTCTTAAAGCCCCTCCCAAATTCAACAATGCATGGAAGGACCCCAGATACCCCCACATACTCACTCTTCAGGGTGAGGTTGAAGGAGATGTGCTGGGAGCCCAGAGGGTGCTGAGCTTGACAGGTGAATTCTCCTTCATCCCTGATACGGATGCGAGACAGCTCCAGGACCCCAGTGTTCAAGGGCTGCAAGGGGCTCTGGGTTAGGCTTCCATGGGCCCAGCTCAGCCTGGCAGGGGGGTTGCTGCTGGCGACACAGACCAGACGCAGATACTGGCCCTCCTGGATATGCAGTGATGAACCATTCCCTATGACAGTGGATTCTAGAAGGAGACACACAAAGATTCTGCGAGTCAGAGAGAAAAGGAGATCCAGAGAAAGAGAAAGAGTACAGAAAGAAACAGGGTGAGGGGGACAGACACACATATGTAAACTGAGAGAGTGGAGACTCTGCAAGAGGAACACAGAAAGGGAGTTGGGATGTTAATTTTATGTGTCACCTTGGCTAGGCTGCAGCGCCCATTCTTTTGGCCAAACATTGGTCTAGATGCTGCTGTGAAGCTATTTACATGTGATTAGCATTTAAGCCAGTTGACTTTAGGTAAAACAAATGAATTTCCACAATGTGGGTGGGCCTGATCCAATCAGTTGACTGCCTTATAGAAAAAAATCTGAGGTTTCCAGAGGGAGAAAGATTTTACCTCAAGACTATAAATAGGCATCCTGCCTGAATCTGTACTCCAACCAATTGACCTATGGATTTTGGACATAAGACTGATAAATATCCCAAGGTTCTGCCCCACACTGGGTTGGTGAGGCTGAGAAGAAACACACACTTTCACATCACTGGTGTGAATACAAACTTCATTAGCCTCAGTGGAGAACATTTTGGCCATTTTTTTTCCAGTTGCTGTTGAGACGACTCATGAAAAGCCTGTTTGTGCAGAGTAGAACTGCTCGATAGATTTTCAAGGCTGTGACTGTTTGGAACCAGATTGCCAGGCCTTACTTCTAAGGCACCTTTGGGTAGGTTTGAACCATCAACATTTTGGTTAGTGGTCGAGTGCTTAACCAATTGCACCTCCCAGAGATTCTAATTTGGCTGTATCTCTCAAAATTAGAAAGAACATACCATCCAGTCACTTTGCTTTTAGGTATTTGTTTCACAGACAAGACACACTTGTGAAAGTAGATACAAGTAGATAAAAGATACAAGATTAGAGTTCCAGCAAAATGGTGCTCTAGGCAGAAGCACCACGCCGTCCCTCCACAGCAAAGATCTGAAAAACTAAGCCGAACAGAGAATACGACAATCCTGAAACCCTAAAACATCAAATGAAGAGATAAAGAACTCAGCCAAGCACCAAATGGAGTGAGAAAACTGACAGAGAATGGAGAGT